AAATCCTTTGATGAAGAAATCACTTTAAAAGCTCTAGAGGTTAGGAAGAAAGGTAAGGAGAAAGATGTTAAACCTTCAGTTGGGAAGATCAACACAACCAAGAAGGGAGAACGATCAAAACCCCTTCAAGTTGCACATATCTCTGAACCTAACAAAAATTATGTGGTAAAGAAGTCAAGCAATAAAGTTTGGAGGATAAAGTACCCCCCCATAACAATGGGGAGTCGACCGTCGAGCCATGCGACGTTAAACGAAGCGCTGCGTGGGATGAAACCCACGATTTTTTAGATCTTATGTTTTTTTGTTTGTGGTTATTATTTTGCAGGAATAAACGAGAGTTTGCAAGGGAAAACATGAGAGCAGCAAAGAGGTGCTGCATTACCTGTCGACCCCTCTGTGAGTACACCTCACCTTCTCTTGTTCTTGAACATTGAGACAATGTTCAGTTTAAGTTTGGGGGAGGTTTTACCGTTTTTAATTTTCAATTTAAGTATCTTTTTATTTAAGTTCGGTAAAAATCACGTCGAGTACGCCCCATAAGAAGACCATAATTTTTTTCTTGTGAAGGTTAAGTGTGTAAGGTAGTCAAGAAAGTATTTGGAATTCAAGGGAAGAGGAGTTTGAGCTAAGGAACTTGAGAAAGTATGGAAATTGAGGTATAATTTGAACACCCTAGGTTCTCCAGAGTAAGGTAACGAGTCCAACGTGTAGATTTGTGCCATAATACTTGGATTTGAGAAGTATTCCCCAATTCGTTCATTGTGATAGTCCAGAATGATTGAAAGAATTGTATATGTTGATTTTGAGAATGACTTGTGGCACCAAAAATTTGTTTTGTGAATAATGACGGTAAAGACAACCTGTCCTTCTAAGTTGGGTAACCCTCACCCGGTTATTTAGCCTAACGACGGTTGAATCTCTATAGTCGTCCCAAATTGGACTAATAAACGCCTGTGAGCGAAAAAAAGAATAAATGTGCCACGGAAAAAGTCTCGAGAAAAATTATACATGCCTTAATCTGATTATCCGAATGAAAGGGGTAGAAAATCGAAGAAAAGACTTAAAGCCCAAAGCATAGTTGGAGAGGTGGCCGAAAAGGGGATTTAGGTCTGTGGTTTTACTGCGGTGTGTGTTTAAGTAATGCCTTCGTTGACAGATTAATACCGAGAGAGATGGTTTGAGATGATCAGAACTAAGACTCACGTATGAGTATTGGCACGCCTGCACCCTGAGCCCTTCACTGGATGTGCTGTTTGATTTGAAAATTTTTATCCAAGCTTTTTGCTTGAGGTCAAGTAATGATTTAAATTTGGGGGAGTTTGATCGGTGGTTTTTACACGTTATTTTAACATTTGTTTCTGTTAATAATTTGTTTTATCTTGTCGCATTTTATGCGTTTGTATTACATTTTACGCGTCGATTTGGTATTTTCACTGTCTCTAGGTTCAGGAAAACAATAAAGGAGAAGCAGAGCGAAAACCGGGGAAAATGACAAAGATTCGAAAGAGTTTTGAGGTGGACCAGGAGCCTAACATGGCCGCCCATGTCCCATGACACGGCCCGTGTCAGGAAGGGCTCAAAAGGTCACGAAGCCCAAGAACCAGCTACCTGACACGGGTGCCCGTGTCCCATGACACGGGCCGTGTCAGGGCCCCTGATGATGAAGAAATTAATCCACGGGTCAGCAGCCTGACACGGGTGCCCGTGTCCCATGACACGGCCCGTGTCAGGGCTACTGAAGCTAAAACGTTTATATTTTGTGTTTTATGCTGACTGTGCTATCTCGGAGGGCAGTTTGAACATCTCGCTTTGTAATTTGAATTTTTGATATATTAGACGGACCGTGAATGGAAAAAGGGGACTTTTGGAGAAGAACAAATTTCACGAGAAAGATTGGAGCGATCAAGGTGTTGGGAAACTGAAGGTCCTCATGAGCGGAAGCGATTGAAGATCAAAGCAACCAATTATCTTGTAATGTTTAATCTTATTGTTGATTTTATTTGTATTATTATGAGTAGCTAAACCCCCCCAATGCTAGGGGGTGTCCCTGAATTGACTCTATAATGACCTTGTTTCCTTTGAATTCTTGATTTCACTGCTTTCTAATCATCGTTGTTATCGTATAATATTTTCTGCCTTTTCTTATTTGACAAATGGGAATATGATCTACGATTAACCTTAAGTTTGGAAAAATGACTGTTAACGCGTTTATACGATAATACTATAATAGATATTGCCTAGGAATGGGGATACCCTATAGTAACCGTAATTTTTTAGATAAAATATATTGCTTGGTATTGTTCCTATACCGCCATGGAATTGGGGCATGGGGAGAATACCAAAGGGTTTTCTGCTAAGGAATTAGAGTCAACTAATCTTTAAAACCGGTAATGATTGAATTGAGCAGTGATTTCTGAAAATTAAGGATTAAGGTTATTACAAGGTTTTTTCATACACCCTACCCTAGCATGCTTCTCATAACTGTCCAAAATCTTTATTTTACTGCTTTTGCCTTCTGGCTTGATAACTCTAAAGAAACAAACCAAAATCATATGACTTTTTGTCCAATTGCATTATTATAGAGCTTGTGTTCCTACGCAGTCCGCGAGATCGATATTCGGGGAATTTCCCTTATTACTACATCGGTACAATTAGTACACTTGCTAATTTACCGGTCATCTGTCCTCAAGCACTTAGTCTTCTTTTCAGTTTCAAGCGAAATTAGTGCTTTGAAATGCTTAAATATTGAAAACACATCTGACTTCTTCTTGATTGGGTATACCTACAATCTTCTGGAGTAATTATCAATGAATGAAACAGAATATTTTGCTCCTCCCGGAGACATTTGCAGTGACTCTCGCACATCAGAATGAATCAAGTCAAATATGTGCTTGCTCTTAGTAGTTGATCTATCAAACTTTAACCTATGTTGTTTTCTTATCACACAATGCTCACAAAAAGGTAAATTTACTGATTTAAGCCCGGGTAAGAGATCACGTTCCAAAAGAACTTTTAAGCCTCGTTCTAACATATGGCCCAGTCTATGATGCCACATTGTCATTAAGGTTTCTTGACTAGTTGATGCAACTGACACAACACCCTCTTGCAACGTCTCTCCCATAAGAATGTATAGATTTGCAGATAGCTTTTCTGCCTTCTTCACTACTATAGTACCTCTCACCACCTTCAAGATCCCACCTTTAATATGGGTCTTGCACCCGAGGTCATCTAATTGTCTAATAGACAATAAATTCTTCTTCAACCCTTTCACATGTCGTACCTCTTGAATTGTGCTAACTGTACCATCATGCATTTTTATTTTGATAGTACCAACACCAGCAATTTCTAAGGCGTAATCATTTCCCATGAACACTGATCCTTCTAAGATAGGTTGATAAGTGTAAAACCAATCTCGTCGAGGAGTCATGTGCCATGTTGCTCCTGAATCAATTATCCAAATGTCAGTGAGTTGTTTACTACCTTTGGAACCAGTTGTTGCTCCGCTATATAAAATCTCTCCATCATCAGAGGTATTGGCAATACATCCTTGAGATGAACTTGCCTCAAAAGACTTCTCACCATTCTTCTTAAACCAACAATCTCTTTTCAATTGCCCTTTCTTGCCACAATTGTAGCATTTCAGATTTATCTTACTTTGAGACTTTGATCTACCATAATTTTGGCTCTCACTGGGGCCACGTTCCACTGATCTTCCTCTCGTCATTGTCAAAGCTTCTTCTTGTTTTGAGTTTTCTTGACGGTCTTCCTTATTTATACGTCTGGACTCTTCCTCAAGAATGGCTCCGACAACATCATCAAAGTATAGACGGTCTGTAACATTATTATTTGTTAAGTTGACGACAAGTGGATCATATGAATCTGGTAAGCTCTGAAGTAGAAGTTCTGCACGTTCATTTTCTGCTATGCTGAAATTTGTCGATGGAAGTTGAGCAAACATCTTATTTAGAGTGTTGATGTGATTTGTCACGGATGTGGGTTCACTCATTCGAATAGTGTAGAGTATTCTCTTTAAGAAAATTCGGTTGTGAAGTGACTTGACCTCGTACAATTTGATGAGAACATCCCAAATCTCCTTTGCAGTTTTCTTTTCGGCAACGCTAGACAAAACTGAATCCGCCAATGCTAAATGCAAATTGGCAACAGTGTTGTTATCCATCTCATTCCACTTCTCGTCAGATACTCCCTCGGTTCTATCTTTAATTGCTGCTAAGCAATTATCCTTCCTCGGGATTGCCATTATCTTCAGTTTTCACAGGGAGAAATTACTCCCATTGAACTTCTCAATCTCAAATTTTACTCTCATGGTAATTTCAATTAAATCGGCTTGCACAATTTCACCGTGAATAATATTCGCATCGGAATATGGACCAATACCAAATGCTCTGATACCACCGTTGGGTATCAAAATAATATAAAATAATAATAACACAACTAAAATTTGAGAGAAGAGTATAGGAATGAGAAGAAACACAATTAATACAAACTCTTTGGATGATTAGGATGATTCTAAATTACATTATGATTTCTCTTTTTATAAGAGTATCCTTAACTATAATAAGTGAATACATATTTAGTGAATTCTACGTAATCTTCTCTTCATCGTAAAAACCAATAATTTATATTTTATTGACTTTTTCTTTCTACCAAACAAAGATGACATTATGTCCTTACATATTGAATAATTTTTTTATCATATTGATTTCTTTCATGAATTTTTCTACAAAGTAAACTGAAAATAGCATAGAAGATAAGAGCAAAATCTCATCACATAATTGTACATGCGTCATGTTAATTCCATGTGATCATATTGCATCAAATATAGGTGACCTCAACTCAATTAATAGCGTGTTTGCCAACTCAACTACTAACCCACAATATTCATTTCAAATGATTAAATAATATTGTTTTCAATAACACTTTTAAACAACAAATTGGAAATAATTAAAGAATAAACTATTTGAAAAAAAAAATACAACTTGCTATAGATAAGAAGCATTATACAATCCACATAGCTTGTTGTCATTCAATCCCAACAAATCGTCCACCACACGATCGTGCCACGTGTCTATCAAAGCTTCGTTCAACCGTTGGATAAACCCCTTCTCATAGTTTTCACAATAATTCAACAAACGTGCAACATGCGTAGGATCCTTATCCTCCCACCATAAACCACGACCAACTTCACATTCCGGCAACTCTCCATCTCCACGGAAAAGCCACTCACGACGGAATCCGGCTAACTCCGCGACATACTCCGCCATACCATTGAGAAGCCTAGGTGGAGCCCTAGATCTTCCATCCCATAGCCAAATTCTAGCCATGGCACGTTGAATTTCACCCACTATCACCATTTCGTTGAAACTCTCATCTTCAAGTAACATAGAACTAATCTCAATCACATAGTTTTTATTATTATTCTCTCCGACGGCGGTGGTGATTCTGGTGGTTGTATTGAGATTTCGACGAACTAGGCGAAGAGTGACAGTCTTTATATTCTTTTTATTCTTGACATTATCATGGTTGCTATTAGGGTAAAGAATTTTTTCTACGACGGAGCTTGTGTTGAGAACTATACGTGCGGCTTTGTCGTTTGAGATGTAGAAAAGAGTGAAACGATGTCCGGCAAGAGAGTCTTTGGTGTCGTTTACTATGTATATGTCAAAAGTCTTTGATGCTTCATAGTTTGCCCATATTGATATTAATGCTACAAAGAGAAAAAAGAGGATTCTGCGAATGATGTTGTTGTTTGTGTTGTTATTTGTGTGTTGGTTGATTTCATGAGAGGAATGGTTGAAATGAGGTAGAAGTGGTTGGAGGAGTTTATTTTCCATTGATGTTGAAGGAAATGAAGTTGTATATAGTAAAAGGAATGAACATGGAAGTTTATGAAAGTGAAGAGGGTATAAGTTGTGTCCTTTTAATAATAGAGCAATGCGTCAGCCATTTTGTTTTTTGTATGGTCAAATGTTGTTGGCCATGTTGTTGTTTGAACTAACTTTTATTTTGCACTATGTATACGTTTATATTTGTATATACGATGACATGAGCACTCTCTATCCTTATTCCTTAATTAAAAATATAACAACCTTAAAATTTTTGAGAAAAGTGTTTTCTTCCTACTGTCTTACAGACGGTGTATGTTACAAAAAAAAAAGTAATTAAACAGCGTATGAAGAAGTCTATTTTTTCGACAGAAAAAAAAAAACTCTTATCATCAATCTTCTGTAAGTTGTTGTTGATTATAATGAGGCAACACAATATGTGGTGCGCGTGAAGTGGGGTATACGAATGGGTGTGTTAGGACATGACATGACCATGACCATTCCTAGCGACATTCGTGTCTGGTTTGGTAATCATTCAATATACTAGAACCTTAAATTAAGTTGTGGAAATATGTTTTAATGGTACATACATATTAAACAATACAATTTTAAAATAGAAGTTTTAAGGCTTATTTAGTCGCCCTTGAAGTCCCTTAAATTAATTTCAGTTTTTACTTTGATCTCTTATATAATAAACGCTATAATGTAGTCTTTTAAAAATCGTTCCGTTAAACAACTTGATCCATTCTATTAGTTTTGTTTTGAAAATGTTAAGTATGCTGATGTGGCATGCCAACAAGGATTGGGGTTCATTTGTGACTCAACATTTTACAATTTATAAATTGTGTAATCTAATTTCATGTCCAATGCATTATTTTAACGTGAGGTTACTAGTCATCATCTTCTTCCTCCTTCCACTTTTCCTCCTTTTCCATTACTCCTTCTTCATTTATATGTGAACATGTCAGTAAACTCCAATAACAAGGCAAAATCAAACACCCAAAGTTATGGGTAATTTGGATCTATTGTGATAAGAAAGAAAAGGATGGAGTGTTGGTGTGAAGAAGAGTGTGTAACGCGTACTGTTATGGATTTAAATAGTGTCAATGTTGGGAAAATTTTTTGGGATTGTAGAAATTACAGAAATCAACTAGAGAAGGGATGCAACTTTTTCAAGTGGGTAGGAGATGAAGTTATTGATGGAAGGGATTTGAAGATTGAAAGGCAAAGGAAGAAAATATTCAAGTTGAAGAATGAGGTCTTGAGCACAAGAGGAATGTCGAAAAATGCAATTTTATTTGACATTATTAGTTTAGGGTTTAATATAGTTTTTGTAACAATGTACTTAAAATAGATTTATGGGCAATAGAACATGTAATTGATGTTACGAATGTAAGAATGTTTGATTTTGCTTAAATGAAATGGGTTGAATGTTATAAATTTGTGTTGGATGTTTAAGCATTTCTGTTATTGTATGATACTGTTTGTCTATAATTTGGGTTCATGTTATAAATTTTGCTTTAACAAAATTTTTGTTTTATAACCTATTATGGCTATGATAACAAGTTGAACAAAATATTTCTTTAACAAAACTTGTCTGTTATGGATGTATTGCTTTAACTGGTATGGTATGATATTGTTTTATAATTGTTCTATTTTGCATTATAAAGAATAATTTTATGAATCATGTAAATTACAAGTTGATATTGCTTTAACAAAATTTTATGGATATTACTTTTAACAAAATATGTTGCACTGGTACAAAATATATTGCTTTAATAAAATATTCTGCAAAATGTCATTGATGCAAAAAGGCAATATAATATCATATAATAACATGTGTTCTTGACACTGGTACAGAAAGGGTATGATACAAAAGGGCATTTGTTCTTTGCCGCGAATACAACAAAGCCTAAGTTAGTGTTCACAAAAGGCTAAATAAAATGTTCACATGACATTGAGTTACACAAACATGAAAAATCAAAAGCGGATCAAATTGCTTCAAGTTGAGTTGGTGCACGAAGACTTGAATCAGGCTGACTTGGTGCAGGAAGACTTGCATTAGGCTGAGTTGGACCAGACTGACTTGATTCAGGTTGAGTGGTCTGACTTGGACCTGGATGTTTACAAGATGCTTTGTTGATGCCAAAATTAGCTCTTTTTAGCTGAGTGTCATCCCTTATGTTCTCTAAGGCATCTCTAGTCCTCTTCTTTTTTGGCCTCTCTGGTTGCCTTTTGATTGGTGGTGGTTGTAACTCAACATAACCTTTTTTCTCCTAAAGTGATTCCTCATTGACTAGAAAAATGGCAGATGCATAGCATGCTTCATACATTTGTTTCTTGTAGCACTCAAGCACATAACTTTCAATCTCTAATTTTTGAGATTTCATGCAAGATATAGCATGACAACATGGTAAACCTGTCAGCATCCATTTTCTCCAAGAACACACCTTGGTTGACAGATTCACAATGTATTTTTCTCCATTATATGAGATGTGTCTCACCTCATAGTCGTACTCTCCTGCACGCCTGTTACATAGACAAGAACTCAGCCACACAGAATAATCAAGAAATGTAAAACAAACATTTAGATGAACAAATACCTCACAATCCAACTGTTTGTTTTTTCAAATTATTTTGCAATCTTTTTCTTGATATTGGGTAGAATATCACCTTCAAACTTGGCAATTTTTTTTTCTGTTTGACTCCCATCTTTGCATGAGTTATACTCTGATTTCTTCAATCATTGTTATCGGATTGGATGACTGCTTCTTGAAAGGTTACTATGGTGGTCAGATTCTTTCAACAATTGGAAGGGATCTAAATGAACAAATGATGCCAATTGCTTTTGCTGTTGTAGAAGGAGAAACCAAAGATTCATGGAGTTGGTTCCTTGATTTGCTAATATCTGATCTTGGAGGTACAAGGCTGTGAAAAATTTACACTTTCATAAGTGACCAACAAAAGGTACTTATTTAATTATTTTATTTAATTTGTTGTTCGTTTCTATAATTGATTAGTTCCATTAGATGCCTGATGCATACTTTTATATATATATATATATATATATATATATATATATATATATATATATATATATATATATATATATATATATATATATATATATATATATATATATATATATATATATATATATATATATATATATATATATATATATATATATATATATATATATATATATATATATATATATATATATATATATATATATATATATATATATATATATATATATATATATATATATATATATATATATATATATATATATATATATATATAATCAGTTATAGAAACGAACAACAAATTAAATAAAATAATTAAATAAGTACCTTTTGTTGGTCACTTATGAAAGTGTAAGTTTTTCACAACCTTGTACCTCTAAGATCAGATATTAGCAAATCAAGGAACCAACTCCATGAATCATTGGTTTCTCCTTCTACAACAGCAAAAGCAATTGGCATCATCTGTTCATTTGGATCCCTTCCAATTGTTGCAAGAATCTGACCACCATAGTAACCTTTCAAGAAGCAACCATCCAATCCTATTATAGGCATGCACTTGAAAAAATTGTCCTTGCATGCCTTAGAACATATGTAGATCCTTTGAAAATGAGGGGTCAACTGAGATTTAGGATTCTCAGTGTTGTCTTCTCCACCTTGGTATGATTGGCTTGTAACTTTAACTATTGAACCAAGATTGGACCTAAGTAGTTCATGTACATAGTCATGTATTCTTTTGTACTTCTCCCTAAAAGATCCATCTACAATATCAATTGCCATGGTCTTTGCTCTGTATGTAAGAGTTTTGTTGATCCCAACATTCCATTTCTGTTGGGTCTTCTCCATGATATCACTTAGCTTTAAGCTAGGACTCTCCCTTACATTGTTGTATCTTAGTTCTTAGTGTAACACCCCGTTTCCCAAAATAAAATAAAGCACTTTAAATAAACAAATATCTGAGTATCTCACACAACGGGATGTCACAATTCACACTAAAATTCCACAACACATTTTTCCAAGTTAATTTTCTCAATAAAACTGCAGTGGAAAATATAAACATTGTCTGCCATTAATCACAAAACAACATATATAATCCATATCCATCATCCTCGTCATATGTATACAAAAATGGGCATCTGCCCAAAAATACATATAGCATCATCTACAATCACCATCAAACAGGATACGCCACAGGGGCACACAAAATCAACATAAAGCGATAAAACTCCCAAAAAGGCCCCAGGTGTTACGTATCAGAGCAGTCTTACAGAGACACCCCAATCCAAGCTAGCTAAACACCTAGATTGTCTGTACTTCCGAAGAAGCACAGACCACAACAACAGCAAAGGGGTGAGAATCACGATCAAATAATAATGGTATGATAGTACATGAAATGAAAGGCAGAAATCAATAATAATACTATTTCATATACATATCATCCGGACTCACGGTCCCACCATCAACCACAATATACAATCACACAACAAATGCACTCACACAACTCTTAACATACGGTACCGACTCACAATCACGATGGGCAACTGGCCATCAACCCTCCACACAGGAGCACATATCAACGATGGGCACTTGGCCATCAACCCTCCACTCAGGGAGCACACCATACTGATGGGCAACTGGCCATCAACCCTCCACAACGGGAACACCACAACAATACCGATGGACACCTGGCCATCACCCTCCACTACGGGAGCACCACACAAACATCGATGGACACATGTCCATCACCCTCCCCACCGGGAGCACAACACAATAACATCGATGGACACATGGCCATCACCCTCCCCACCGGGAGCACAACACATACATATACACGACGCACAAGGCGTACCGATCCCACGGATCCACTCACATCATAAAATACATACATAACAAGCACTCACAGTGCGTCGATCCCACGGATCCATTCACCACACAACTTATCTCATACAATGCACACAAGGCATATCGGTCCTTCTGACC